ATCCTCCTACTTCAGCTTCCTAAGTTGCTGGGACTACACGCACATACCACCATGTCTGGCTAATTTCTGTATTTTTTTGTAGAAATGTGGTCTTGCTATGTTGCCCAGACTAGTCTTAAAATCCTGAGCTCAAGCAGTCTACCTGCCTTGGCCTCTGAATGTGTTGGGATTACAGGCATGAGTCACCTTACCTGGCCTTTTTTTTTTTCTTTTTTTTAAACCAGTGATCTTTTACTGTCCCCTTGGTTTTTCACATTGGCTTCTTTCATTCAGTAATGAGAGTTTAAGTTTCTTCTATGTATTTTCATGTTTTTAGCTTATTTCTTTTTAGCAGTGAGTAATATTTCCTTGTTTGGATATACAATCACTTATCTATTCATTCACCTACTGAAGGACATCTTGATTGGTCCCAGTTGTGGCAATTATAAAGTTGATATAAACATTCATGTGCATAAGTGGCATAAGTTTTTTTAGTGGCATAAGTTTTCATCTCATTTGGGTAAGTACCAAGGAGAGCACAATTGCTGGATCATGTGGTAAAATTTTATTTTTTTATTATTGTTTTATTTTTGAGATGCAGTTTCACTCTTGTTGCCCAGGCTGGAGTGCAATGGCACATTCTTGGCTCACTACAACTTCTGCCTCCTGGGTTCAAGCAATTCTCCTGCCTCAGCCTCCCAAGTAGCTGGAATTACGGGTATGTGCCACCATGCCCAGATAATTTTGTATTTTTAGTAGAGATGGGGTTTTTCTGTGTGGGTCAAGCTGGTCTCAAACTCCTGACCTCAGGTGATCTGCCTGCCTCAGACTCCCAAAGTGCTGGGATTGTAGTTGTGAGCCACTGTGCCCGGCCTGAGTATATATATATATATTTTTAAGAAATTACCAAGCTGCCTTCCAAAGTGGATGTACCATTTTGCATTCCCACCAGCAATGAATGAGAGTTTTTCTTGCTCCATATTCTTACAAACATGCAGTGTTGTCAAATGTTTTGGATTTTAAAACCAAAATCCATTTTAGTAGGTGTGTAGTGGTATCCTGTTTTAATTTGCAGTTCCCTAATAACTTGATGTTCTACATTTTTTTAGATGCTTATTTGCCTTACTGTGTATCTTCTTCCGTGAGGTGTCTGTTCAGGTCTTTTGCCTATTTTTAATCTAGTTGTTAGTTTTCTTGTTGAGTTTAAGAATTATTTGTCCTTTGTCAGATGTATCTTTTGCAAATATTTTCTCCTAGTCTGTGGCTTGTCCTCTCATTCTCCTTGCATTGTCTTTCATGGAGTAGACATTTTATATTTTAATAAAGTCTAGACTATCAATTATGTTTTCATGGATTATGTCTTTGATGTTGTATCTAAAAAGTTTTTGCCATACCCAAAGTCATCTCGATTTTTTCCTGTTATCTTCTTGGCGTTTTATAGTCTTGTGATTGATATTTAGGTCTATGATCCATTTTTAGTTAATTTTTGTAAAAGATATAAGGTCTGATATGGATCAATTTTTCTGTGTGTAGCTGTCCAGTTCCAGTATCATTTGTTGAAAAGACTATCTTGCTCCATTTTATTGCCTTTCCTCCTTTGTCAGTTGACTATATTTACGTGGGTCTGTTTCTGACTCTGTTCTGTTCCATTGATCTATTCGTGTTTTTTTTTTGCTGATACCACACTGTCTTAATTACCATAGCTTTAAAGTAAGTCTTGAAGTCCAATAGCATTAATCTCTGACTCTTCTTTAATATTGAGTGGGCCCTTTTGTGTCTTAATGCCTCTCCTTGTAAATTTTAGAATCAGCCGTTTTATATTCATGAAATAACTTGCTGAGATTGCATTGAATCTATAGGCTTCTTTGGGAAAAACAGACATCTTGGCAATATTGAGACTTCCTATCCATAAACATTGTTTATGTTGGGTTTCTTTATGTTGAGGAGTTTTGTTTTTTCTGCTGTTAGATATTCCACTTCTACCTTTATGATTTCTTACATTGCCTTTTATGCTTAGAAAGTCTTTCCTCATCCTGAGCTCACATATTCATTTATTTTCTTTTAAATGTGTTTTTCAAGCATGTAATTTTAAACCTATGTGGAATTTTAGTGTATAGAATGAGGTGGTGGTCTAACTCCTTCCCCTGAAATATGTAGTTATTTTTCCCAAAACCATTTTCTATTGATTTATCAGGAATAGACATGTATACATATATAATAGTCAGCCTTCCACTTGTTTTCTGGACCCTGTGGAAATCGTATGAGTTTCCAATTTTGGATTATGCTCAGGTAGTAACTGAGCTGGGTTCTACCATAGATCAGTGTTAATTCACTATCCAGATCTTCCACACAGTTATAAAAATGTAAGTTTTATGAAAATCTAACAATATATCATGATTTAATGATCACAGCCTAGGAAGAATGGGGAAATGGTCACAATCTTAGGTGGATGCACCTGAAGAAGGCCCCTGCTGAACCCATTTGCTTGCTAGGCATGGCTGCCAGTACCAGGGGCAAACTCCTGGGGTATATATGAACCACCTACATCTCCCTCTCTTCCCCACTACCCCTGAGATTTTCCATGTGTCTCTTGAGGATGTTTGTCCTTCTTCCCTTGGAGAGTCACTACCATATTGAACACTTTAGACTGTGAGTCCTGTGAAGATGGGGCTTATGAGTGTATTGCTCCCCAGTTGTTTCTCCAGCGCCTAGCTCAGTATAGGACATACAAATTTGAATGGATTAACAAACCACTAATACTGGTGGGAATGCGCTACTATCTTACACAGTTTGAGGTGGAATTAAGTTTGAGAACAGCTGTATAATGTGTTCCTTGAAGGGCAGCTGTACATCAGTTCAGTCGGCCTACCTTCTCTGTACTTCTCACTCTGAAAACTGTAAAGCAATCAACTTGGGAGCTTTAAAAGGGACTGCTACCTAGCTCTCACCCACAAAGCTGCAGTTTAGCACAGGGGATGTTTTTAGAAAGTTTTTTGGACTGAGCATGGTGGCTCACGCCTGTAATCCCTGCATTTGGGAAGCCAAGGTGGGCGGATTACCTGAGTTCAGGAGTTTGAGACCAGCTTGACCAACATGGATTAACCCCATCTCTACTACAAATACAAAATTAGCTGGCCATGTTGACACATGCCTGTTAATCCCAGCTACTTGGGAGGTGGAGGTTGTGGTGAGCTGAGATCATGCCATTGCACTCCAGCCTGGGCAACAAGAGTAAAACTCCATCTCAAAGAAAAAAAAAGGTTTTTTTGGATAATTTCAAAGTAAAGCTAAGGTGGAGAATCACTGCTTAAAAAGCATTTTTGGCATGACATGGTGGCTCATGCCTATAATGCCAGCACTTTGGGAGGCCAAGACAAGAGCCCAGGAGTTTGAGGCTGCAGTGAGATGTGATTATGCCACTGTACTCCAGCCTGGGTGACAGAGCAAACCCCTGCCTCTAAAACAAAAAAGAACTTTTAATGCTTTAAAAAATAAGTCCTGGCCAGGCGCAGTGGCTCACACCTGTAATCCCAGGACTTTGGGAGGCTGAGTCAGGCAGATCACAAAGTCAGGAGTGTGAGACTAGCCTGACCAACATTTTGAAACTTCGTCACTACTAAAAACACAAGAAATTACCCGGGCATGGTTGAGGGCACCTGTAATCCCAGCTACTCGAGAGGCTGAGGTAGGAGAACTGCTTTAACCCAGGAGGCAGGGATTACAGTGAGCCAAGGTCATGCCATTGCACTCCAGCTTGGGCAACGGTGGGAGACTCCATCTCAAAAAAACAAAAAAAAAAGAGTGCTATTAAGACTTATTTTTGGCTGGGTGTGGTGGCTTATACCTATAATCCCAGCACTTTGGGAGGCCGAGGCGGGTGGATCACCTGAGGTCAGGATTTTGAGACCAACCTGATAAACATGCAGAAACCCCGTTTCTACCTAAAAAAAAAAAAAAATACAAAATTAGCCGGGTGTGGTGGGGCATACCTGTAATCCCAGCTACTCGGGAGGCCGAGGCAGGAGAATCACTTGAATCCAGGAGGCAGAGTTTGCAGTGAGCCAAGATCGCACCATTGCACCACTCCAGCCTGGGCAACAAGAGTGAAACTCTGTCTCAAAACAAAAAACATATATATATATAATCCCAGCACTTTGAGAGGCCGAGGTGGGCGTTCCACCTGAGGCCTGGAGTTCGAGAGTTCCACCTGAGGTTGGGAGTTCGAGACCATCTGGACCAACAGGGAGAAACCTCATCTCTAAAACAAAATAATTTTAAAAACACAGATTTATTTTTATTTTTACAGGTTGGATATCCTAATCCCAAAATCAGAAATGCTCTAAAATTTGAAACCTTTTCAGCACAGACATGATGCTCAAAAGAAATGCTCATTGGGACACTTTGGATTTCAAAATTTGGATTAGGCACTGGGTGTGGTGGCTCACACCTGTAATCATAGCACTTTAGGAGGTTGAGGCAGGAAGAGCAATTGAACCTAAGAGTTTGAGAGCAGCCTGGGCAAAACAGTGAGACTTTTGTCACTGCAAAAAAAATTTTTTAATTAGCCAAATGTGTTGGTACATAGCTGTAGTCCCAGTTACTCAAGAGGCTGAGGCAGAAGAATCACTTTGAGTCCAGGAGGTGAGTCCAGGCACTGAACTATGATCATACCACTGTACTCCATCAACAGAGCAAGACCCTGTCTCTTTAAAAGAAAAAAAAAAAAAGGAAATTTGAATTAGGGATGCTCAACCCAGTGAATGTAACCCAAAACCAAAATTTGGTTAAAAATCTGAAACACTTCTGGCCCTCAACCATTTCAGATAAGGGATAGTCAATCTTTCTAAAGACTCAGTTAGTTATTGAATGTCTGGGGAAACACGCATATCGGGCTCCCAAAAGATTGTTGGTTTAGGCACATGTTTTAATAGCTTAGAAATCCAGAATACTCTTCTGGTGATCAGCTCAGACATAGTCATTGATAATACAAGACTTTATCTAACATGGTTCCCTATTTTCAGATAAGCATGGATTCCTGGTTCATTCTTGTTCTGCTTGGCAGTGGTCTGATACGTGTCAGTGCCAACAATGCTACCACAGGTAAATTGTCATTTGATAAAGTTGCTATTTGAAGTGAAATTTTGGTTTCACATTTAATGAGCCAAATTTCAAAACCTAGATGGTATTTGAAGAAAGGAATATAAAAAGTTTCTTCAAAGTGATAGTAAAATAGGTGTTTTTGGAAGTCTTGGAATTGTATTGAATGTTCAGCATTGTTTTTCATACATATAACTGCTTTAAATAAATGAAAGAGATTATGTGTTCTTTTCTGAAAACTAAAATAAACTGTTGACATTTACAACTCTGTCTATGGTTTCTGAGGAACTAAGTGAAAAATCTTGTGTCTCTCTCCCTTAAACTGTAGCTTTGGAAAAGATAGGAAGGGTTCAACATTAGATAAAAACATAGGGGGTGGCTGGGTGTTGCGGGGGATTGGTCTTTGCTTGGTCTCCATATGTTTGAGAGTTTATTAAGGCTTGCTGCTTGTGTCTCAACTTTTTAGCCTCATATTCTTCATGTGATATTTCCTTGTTTTTTGGTGTTTGTAGTTGCACCTTCTGTAGGAATTACAAGATTAGTTAACACATCAACGGCAAAACCAGTTAAAGAAGAGGCCAAAACTTCAAATCCAACTTCTTCACTACCTTCTCTTTCTGTGACACCAACGTTCAGCCCAAATATAACTCTGGGACCCACCTATTTAACCACTGCCAATTCTTCAGACTCTGACAATGGGACCACAAGAACAGCAAGCACTAATTCTATAGGCACTACAATTTCACCAAATGGAACGTGGCTTCCAGATAACCAGTTCACGGATGCCAAAACAGAACCTTGGGAGGGAAATTCCAGCACTGCAGCAACCACTCCAGAAACCTTCCCTCCTTCAGGTACTAGAGATGATTCTGTTTGTTCTTTTGCTCTTTGAGTTTATGCATCCTTTTATTACCTTGTTTGTGTTTTCTAGCCTTAAAAATTCTTCAAATAAGTAAAATTGCTCAAGTGAAGTAATGAAACCTAGATGTGGAATTTTTAGGAATATCTGGTTAACATAAGTGAAAAGGAAAGAAGAAAGATTCTGGAGAATATCATTTTGCTAGATGGGATCCTGGTTAGATTGAGAAGACCTAATGTGTTTAAAGGTAGAGAAGAAGGCTAAAAAAAGACAGAAAGAGGGGAGCTCATTGAAGATGCAAGAGACTGAAGATGAAAAGATAAGATACAGAGACTGAGTAATAAGATTAGGCTTGAAAAGGGAGGGATCCATGGAGACCATGGAAAAGAGAATGGATGTGGATGTCCATGACAATTAGATATGGAGTGGGAGGCCAGTGGCCAGGGGTGGCATTAGAGAGAGGGACTCTGGGAAATGGTTACATTGCAGTGCCAGTTGTTCAGGGTCTCAAGTTGAAGCAGTAGTCCCAAGGATAAAATCAGAGACATGGATCTGAGACCAGGGCAGGTAGGACAAGTTTCTGACCTCTTTGAACCTTAGGTACCTTGTCTGTAAAAAAGGATTAGAGAGTCCCTCAGAGGGCTTCTATGAGGAATAAAGGAAATAATCATTACCTGATTGTTATGTAACTGTCATTCCTTTTCTAGCAAAAATCGCTCTTTCCTCTTCTGTGTTCCCCAGCCCCTTGGCTTAAGATTTCTTCCCAGTTAGATGGTGAGTGTCCCTAAGTAGAATCACCTCTTGCTCATGGGGAACATTCAGCAACTGTTTGCCCAGTTGATTCTCATTTGTTACTACAGATGACATCTTTTACTATGCCTTATAACTCGGACCCTTCACCTGCCTGCCCCCGTATTTTCTACCATAAAGACAAAACAGCCTTTGCAGTTAAGAGCACAGTCTGCATTGCCACGCTACTGAGTTTGAATCCCAGCTCTGCCATAAGCCAGCTATGTTTATGGCAAAACAAGCTTATTTAATCTCTCTACCTCAGTTTGTTTGTCTGTGAAACAAGAATGAGTGATAGTAATAGTTGTTACCTCGTAAAGGAGATAGAAGGATTAAATGAGTTAATATGGGTAAAGCACTTATAAAGTTGCCTGCACATAGTAAGCACTATTTTTAAGTGTTAGCTGTTATTATTGTTGCGATTATTGCTCTGATAGTTTGCCAGTAAAATATATGAAGATATCTTTAATGTGGTTGGCATCCCACTATTCTTAATGAAATAGGGGAGTACAGACAAATAACGTCTTTGTGCTTTAAAGTTAATATAGGTTTTTAAATCATAGTCATTACATGTGCTAGGCATTGTACTAAGAGTTTTCGAGAATAATCCTATGAGGTAAGTTCTATTTTATGTTTTTTTGTTGTTGTTGTCTGTTTGTTTTGAGGCAGAATCTCACTCTGCCGCCCAGGCTGGAGTGCAGTGGTGTGATCTCAGCTCACTGAAATCTCTGCCTCCCGGGTTCAAGTAATTCTCCTGCTTCAGCCTCCTGAGTAGCTGGTATTACAAGCGTGCACCACCACGCCTGGCTAATTTTTTGTATTTTTAGTAGAGACGGGATTTCACCATGTTGATCAGGCTGGTCTCGAACTCCTGACCTCCGGTGATCTGCCCACCTCGGCCTCCCAAAGTGCTGGGATTACAGGCATGAACCACTGCACCTGGCTATTTTATGTTTTAGAGGTGAATGTATTTTACAATGATAAAACTGTAATTTATGGAATGTTTTTCAAAATACAGGTCATGACACAATTTATGAAATCACTTTAGTGGGCCACCACTAGTTGTTTGTTTTAATGGATGATCTAGTTCCATTTTTGTTCTTTTAATGTTACATATACAATTTTTTGGAAATTTTAGTAACCACATAAAATATTGGGTTGTGGCCATTGCTTAGGGAAAAAGGCAGAATAACTTGTATACACTGACTGAGTGAATGGAAAAGGTGGAGACTGTAACACAGGCCTGACTGGGACAGTCCATGTTCTATTCTGTACTGTCTTTCATTTAACACTTCTGTGTCATGACCATGGACAATCATCTCCTTTTAACAGATACTTAATTTCAGACTGTATTTAGAGGTTAAATGATTTGCTTTAGATCTCAAGGCTGATAATTAGGCCTATTTCTCACTTTTGCTGTCTTTCCACTCTGCTTGTAGGGAACTTAGTTTTCCACAAACTGACTTAGGCCCAGATTATTGCACAGCTAAGAATCTAGTTATTGTACATTTAACACATTTCATGTCATAGAAGACTGAGACTACATTTCTCTAGTGACATTTATTCAAGATGAGTAAAACACAAGAAACCATTATGGCACATTGGAATTTCGTAGTCTTAAACCCCACATCCCACTCATCACCACCATTTTACCAGTCCTCCTGTAACAGTTACAATTTTTTAATTAAATCAGTATTTGATGTTGTGTGTTACTATAATTATGAAATATTCATTGCTGAGCTATAAGTATAAATGGATTTTTTCTTTCTTGTACAATTTTTTTTCTGGATTTAATAATTGCCTTATTTTTTGTTTATTTAGTTTTCTATTTAGTCAGGCCAGGCACGGTGGCTCACACCTGTAATCCCAGCACTTTGGGAGGCCAAGGTAGACAGATCACTTGAGCTCAAGAGTTTGAGACCAACCTGGGGAACATGGTGAAACCACATCTCTACAAAAAATATAAAAGTTAGCTGGGCATGGGTGCATGTGCCTGTAGTCCCAGCTACTCAGGAGGCTGAGGTGGGAGGATTGCTTAAGCCCAGGAGGTCGAGGCTGCAGTGAACTGTGTTCATACCACTGCACTCCAGCCTGAGTGACAAAGAAAGACCATGTCTCAAAAAAGTTACTGCTAGTCCATTCTTACCACACTTTCCAGAGCCTCTCAGTACAGCTTTCTACAAAGTGAGATTATTCGATAATCTATTTCTTTTTTACCTCAAAAAATTCCTCCTGAGCCCTCCATTATCTTATTCCAGTCTAGGCTTGTTGATCTTTAGGGCTACTATGCAGATATATCAGCCTGGGATTTCCCTTCTCTGTCATCCTGGGAATTCCCCTTGCTGCTGCTTCCTGACTTCCATATTGTCTTCTTTCTTGTCTTCTCTCATCATTTGGTAGATTCCTGAGAAAAGGGGTCCATGGGAGGTAAATTACGTAAGACCTTACATGTCCAAGAATATCTTGAGAGCTATGTATAGAATTTGAGGAATTTTTTTCCCCCAGAATTTTTAAAGTATTTCCCTAACTGACACCTGCTTACCAGGCTTGGAGGATTTTACTGCCATCTTAATTCCTAATTATTTGTGTGTTTTTAGGACCTTCTCTTTATCATTGGTATTCTGAAATTTATGGAGTTGTATCTTGGTGTGGGTCTTTTTCATTCATTTTTATGGATACTTTATAGGCCCTTTGGAGCCTTGATCTAGCATTTCTGAAAATTTTCTCCTATTTCTTTGAAACCTTCTCTCCCTCTTCCATTTTCTTTGTTCTCTTCTCAAACTCTTGTTATTTAGATATTGGATGTATCCTGAATTATTTAATCTTTAAAATTTTTCTTTCCTATTGATCTTTGCTTTGACTCTCTTCTTCCTTTTAAAAATAAACAAAGGGTCTTGGCTCACGCCTATAATCAGCCTTGGCTCACTTTGGGAGGCTGAGGTGGGCAGATCACGAGGTCAGAAGTTGGAGACTAGCATGACCAACATGGTGAAACCCTGTCTCCACTAAAATTAGAAAATTTTGCTGGGCATGGTGGCGTGCGCCTATAATCTCAGCCACTCGGGAGGCTGAGGCAGGAGAATCGCTTGAACCCAGAAGGCAGAGGTTGCGGTGAGCTGAGACCACGCCACTAGACTCCATCCAGCCTGGTGACAAAGAGAGACTCCGTCTCAAAAAAATAAATAAAAATTAATAGCTGGGTGTGGTGGCTCATGCCTGTAATCGCAGTACTTTGGGAGGCTGAGGTGGGTTGATCAGGAGGTCAGGAGTTCAAGACCATCCTGGCCAAGATGATGAAACCCTGTCTCCACTACAAATACAAAAAGTAGCCGGGCATGGTGGTGGGTGCCTGTAATCCCAGCTACTTGGGAGGCTGAAGGAGAGAATTGCTCCAGCCCGTGAGGTGGAGGTTGCATTGAGCCGAAATCATGCCACTACATTCCAGCCCGGGAGACAGAGTGAGACTCCATCAAAACAGACAAAGGGCGGCCAGGCACATTGGCTTACACCTGTAATTCCAGCACTTTGGGAGGCTGAGGTGGGAGGATTGCTTGAGCCCAGGAGTTTGAGACCAGCCTAAGCAACATAGTGAGACCTCATCTCTACAAATAATTTGGAAATTAGCAGGGCCTAGTGACTGATGCTTGTGGTCCCAGCTACTCAGGGGTGAGGCAGGAGGATCACTTGAGGCCTGGCAGTTGAGGCTGCAGTGAGCCGTGATCGCACCACTGCATTCTAGTCTGGGCAACAGAACGAGACCTCATCTCAAAAACAAATAAGTAGCCCGGGTGCAGTGGCTCACTCCCGTAATCCCAGCACTTTGGGAGGCTAAGGCAGATGGATCACTTGAACCCAGGAGCTCAAGACCAGGATAGCCAACGTGGCAAAATCCTGTGTCTACCTACTAAAAATAAATTAGTCAAACATGTTGGCACATACTTGTATTTATTTTTTACTTTTATATTTTTGAGGCAGAGTCTCGCTCTGTCGCCATGCTGGAGTGCACTGGTATGATTTTGGCTTACTACAACCTCTGACTCCTGGGTTCAAGCAGTTCTCATCCTCAGCCTCCCAAGTAGCTAGGATTACAGGCATGCGCCACCACACCCAGCTGATTTTTGTATTTTTAGTTGACAAGATTTCACCATGTTGGCCAGGATGGTCTTCATCTCCTGGCCTCATGATCCACCCTCCTAAGCCTCCCAA